AAGAGGAATAGGGACAAATATGAGACTCTGCGAATACAAATTTATGAAAAGCTGACAGGATTTGGTGCTGGTTTCCTATAGACTAGGAGTAAGGAGAGGCATCTCTGAGAGGCTGAGACCAAGGGAAGATAGTAGGAGATGGAGGCATTGGACAAATATGAGACTCTGCGAATACAAATTTATGAAAAGCTGACAGGATTTGGTGCTGGTTTCCTATAGACTAGGAGTAAGGAGAGGCATCTCTGAGAGGCTGAGACCAAGGGAAGATAGTAGGAGATGGAGGCATTGTTGAAAGAAATGAAAATGCTATGAAAATGAAATGCCGATAAAAGCAGGGAAGACAGTAACCCCACTGAAGATGAGGGAAAGACTGTGGCCAGGCGTGGTGGCCAAATCTTTACTTCCTTGGCTACACTAGAAACAGGAAACTTTTAACAGTATTATGAAAAGTTCAAACGACTACAGATGACCTGTTCCTTGTTCCTCTAAGGTGACTGACACTGGCCTCCACCTTAGACTCATTTAGGGATAATTTTCCTCTTTTGTCTTGCCTCATCTGGGGGCTAAGGGGAAAAGTAGACTCTTTAAGAGTGGAACTAGGTTGCATGAGCAATCCTTCTATTAACAGATACCAGTAAACCACTTGGTGGCCACATAGAAATCCAGTTAAGGCAGGTACATGTTCAGTTTTCTCTTTTAAACCTAGAGCCTTCAGATACGACCAAGCATATAATCGGCAGTTCCAGTATTTAACATGTGATACCTTAGTTCTGGCCTTGCAATGAGTCAATGGACTGTGGATTCATACAGGGATAGAACTTAACTTTAAATTCCGGGAAATCTGAGCAGCACTTCCTCACCCCTGAGGCAGGAGGCCCGGTCCACATGAGCAAAGTTCCCGGGAACAGCCTGGGTCTCTCCCAAGTTCTGATGTGATACACAAACTACACTAAGGGAGCTTCCAAATGTGGGCCGATTCCAACTCACCACCAGATGTCACTGTTGCTCAGCGACTAGAAAGTTAAATTAGTAACTGCAGATTGGTTCCTGGACCCCCAGAATTCTAAAACCCAAAGACAGAAGCTCAAGCTCTTATATAAACTGTGAGGTATTTACTATAAGCTGTGCATATTTTCTCTCCAGATTATAGTACTTAATACAACACAATGTTAGTAAATAGTTGTCATGTGATACTGTTAGAAATTGTGGCTGGGAAACAAGTCTACAGATGTTCAGTACTGACAAAACTTAAAAAAAAATCAATCTATGATGGCTGATTCCATGGATGTGGAACCCAAAGACATGAAGGATCAACTGTTAACTTTTTTTCCTAAAAGCAAGGCTTATTCTAATTCAATAACCATTAACTGAACATTAGGGTGAGCCAGGGACTAATGCCAAGCGCTTTAGATAAAAAAGACCATTATGTTCTCAGACAGGCAACTAGGGTAGAAGGGCAGGGAGCAATCACACACACCAATGCTCCAACATCCAACATTGAGTGAAGTCTCTCCATGAAAAGCCAAAGCAGAAAAACTTCTTTGGAGAGACATCTTGGGCTCCGTCCCAGCCAGATGCTCCTGTTCATTCCTCTACCTCTCAAAGTCAGGCTTTGTTGTAATCACACTGCCAGCCTCCCTTTAAACCCCTATACTTGACACAGCAATAATGATCAGCAGCCATGTACTGTTTACTAAAGCATTGACTGCTTCCCTACACCCTGTATTCCTTTTCTTTAATCCTAACAATCCTATGGCAGATACTATCCCTACTTTACAGGAAGACAGCTATTTGGCTCATTGGCAGAGCTGAATCCTTATGTCATTAAAAAAAAAAAAAAGTCTTAAAAGCTGAATATAAATGGGAACTGAAAAATAGAAGCTTCTATAACTCATTCCTCTATAGAAAGCTCCTTTCCTGATGCCGTTAGGACTGTCTACAAGCACCTCTTGTGCCTATTCAAAGCTAAGAGCACTCAGGATAGCCTACACCTTTTAGAGTACTTTCATAGAGCTACATAGTGACCGCCAGCTAGACAGGACCACAGGTGTTTGGCTAGTCCAACTCTATCATGGATGACAGAAAAGAGATTTGGTCCAGGCTATACAACACATAGTAAGACCATGCACGCTGTGGTCTGTGTAATTTTATTAACTGCTGACACTCCAGTTTGTTTCACGAAGGCTGACATGGCAAGTCCCTAACATCTGCTGTCCACCATGTGCTGCTGACAACCTTGAGTCTTCTACAGAAGAATTCAGCAGGGTAGACTGCTACTATTCTTAAAGGGAAATTCCAACCAATCTAAACTATAAAAATGAACAGCAAAACCAGGTGCCAGGTCAACAGACTGCAGAATACAAGGGCATGCAGGCTGTTAAGTCCAAATTCCAGCCCCAAGGTTAGTCTCCTCTGGCTGAGACCTGGGCTTCAGAGTGCTGAGATCCTACTTCCTAGGGTTATCACATTTAATGCCAATATATGTTCTGAGATCAGGCAAGATGGATCAGTAGGTAAAGGTGCTTTCTGCCAAGCTTGTGAACCTGAACTGGATTGCTGGGACCCACAGGGCGGAAGAACCGACTCATGCAATGTGTCCTTTGACCTCTGTTCTCTGAGCAGGCATGCACACACAGGTACATACAGAGAAATAACGAACAGCTAGAGATGGCTCAGTGGTTAATAGAAAGCACTGCTATTGTAGAGGACCCAAGTCTGGTTCCCATCAGCTCAACTGCCTGTAACTCAAGCTCTGAGGGATCTGATATTCTGGTCGCCTGGGTAGCTGCACTAATGTGCAAAAACCACACATAGACACACAATAAAACTTTAAAAATAAGGAGCTGGAGAGATGGCTCAGCAGGGAAGAGCACTTGCTGCTCTTGGAGGACCTGGGTTCAGTTCTTGGCATCCCCAAGGCAGCCATCTGTAACTCCAGTTCCAGGGTTCCAACACCCTTTTCTTGCCTCCATGGGTGCTGGGTACACAGGAAATGCACATACATACATACAGGGAAACACATACACACACATAAATTCTTAGAGCAATGTGGGGTACATAGCAAGTGCTCAATGAAGGTAAGCTGTTATTTCTATTTGTAGATATCCTTTAACTGGTTCCTACCAAAGGCACAAACATTTTATATTTTTTTTCTAATTTTTATGCTAAGTTGAAAGAAATACAAGACATCTGATGGGTTCACTTATTTTAATAATGATACATATGTCATGTCACGATGGAATGTAGTTCAGGTTAGACAAGGGAAGTGTATCAAAGTTTGTGTATAATGTCTCACAAAACCAATCAGCCCACAAACCACTAATGACTTTCATTTTTTGATACTTTTAACATTTAATGATACTTACAGAGAAAGTACACACACAGCCCATATTTAAAATCTGTTCTTTATCTTTGCATTACCACTTGAAGTATCTATTTCTGGGTTGAGATGTAGCTTAATGGCACAGCACCTGCCTAGCATGTGAGGCCCTGGGTTTGATGCCCAACCTTGCTCTCTCTTTCTCTCTCACACACACACACACACACAAACTGTTACTTCAAGATGACATTTAAAAATCATTCTAATACCACAGCAGCAAAAATATAATTTTGTAACTATAAAAGAGCTAAACTGGGATTCACAATTAAATTACTGTTTATGCGTGTGATTCTAAATACTGCTTCTATACAGCAGTATTTTAAGCTTTCCAGGTTTGGTTTACACACATACACACACACACACACACACACACACACACACTCTCTCTCTCTCTCTCTCTCAATTGTGGGGAACTTTAAATTAGTTCTATTTCATGCACTCTTTTGAAAGAGTTCTTCAGAAGCCAACAAACCTTAAAAACTGAGGTTTTCAAACCAGCCCATGGGCAGGCAAAGGTTAAATTAACTGGGGCACACTTCCATCCAAAGCATGGAGCTTTCTGCAGCAAATGGAGAACTTCAGGATTGTCCTGCTGTCTTCTTTAAAACTAGGTTCATCGAAGAGTGTAAGGACATTTTTACCAAGTATATTCTGGTGATAGGCTTCTGTTGTGTTAGCTTGACTCCCCTGAGTGACCTCATTAGTGAACTAGTCACTAATAATTTGGTTACCAGGTAAATCGAGCTGGCAAGAAAGTAAGTCATTATTCAAAGTACTATATTATTGTCTAAACCCACTTGTATTATTTATTTTTGACAGAAACATATAACCTCAATGTGAGATGTGTAGTAACTAAAGCAAGCACTTCCAACAAGGCCGATAGCATCTCTTCTACTTCTTAGGCTTTGCCACAAATTCCTGATACATGGAGTAGCCCATACCTAAAGAAAAAACAGTTAAGCATTAAAATATTTTCTTCAATATTAAGAAAATATAAAACAGCTCATAGAACAGCTAAAACTAGTACCTCTACAAACAGACCATTCATAAGAATTAGACACCAGGAGGCTTACACGCTGGCCTCAAGTTCAAATTTCTAAAACTCTTTAAAATATAATTTACCAAGTTATGCAAGGCTAGTACCAGTCACTCACAATTATATTTACCTGGCAACTTAAAACACTCACTCACTACATAATACCAGATAGTCAATCAATCATGGCACCAATGAAAGCAGTTATGAGCCACATTTTAGAATCCTTTTCCACATTTGCAAACCCAGTAATAACTATGTCCTTATCAGAAAACTGTGTTCCTACCAACCCATTTGCATGTTCTGACAGCAATGAAATTATAAACATCACAGAATTCTTTTTTTTTTCTTTGGGTTATGTCACAGGCAATAATACCATGCTACTACTTGAATTATACTCATTATTAACCTTTCACATGTATGAGTAAATGAATTCCCAAGTTGCCTTAAGGTCAGCAGAAGTATTTACTTTGTTTGGTTTGTAAAGAAAAGCACCAATGGGAGGCACAGATGTGAAAATGTCCTGATGAAACATACCAAGAGTCATGGCTCCCACGACAAAGCCTTGGGCAGCCACACGCATGTGGATCAGGTGAATGGACATTTTTGTATTTCCTCTGCTCTTCAATTTGTATAATCCATACGCAACAATTGCTGCAAAACCTGCCATTCCTAGAAAATAAGTCACAAGTATGTCAGCTGTGTGGAGGAGGGGAACAAGGTGATTTTACCATTCATCAATATACTTTCTACAATTGTTATAAGGACATTTTACCAAATCCTTAATGAGTTAACATACAAATTAAGTTTTAGCCTTTTTTGTCTTACAACCTAAAACATGTAATTCCACAGCAAAAAGTAGCAAATCCAGAAAGTCAGGATCTTTTTCTTGTTTGTTTTGTGACAGGGTCTCATGCATCCCAGCACGCCTTGGACTTGCTATATATAGCAGAGGATGACCTTGAGCTCCTTGATCATCCTGTCTCCACCTTCCAAATTCTGGGCTTCTAGGTGTGTGCCACATCGTCTAACTAAGGTCCACCTTTTTAAAAATATAAGTTAAGGGGCTGGAGAGATGGTTCCGCGGTTAAGAACACTGGTTGTTCTTGCAGAAGACCCAGGTTCGAATCCCAGCACCCACATGGCAGCTAACCAACTGTCCATAACTCCAGTTCCAGGGGATCCGACAGCCTCTTCTACCTCCATGGACATTGCACGACACAGGTGTACTTACCTACACGCAGGCAATACACACATACATATTTAAAAAAAAAAAAAAAAAAAAAAGGGTTATGCTAGGTGTGGTGGTGCACACCTTTAATCCCAGCAGTTAGGAGGCAGAAGAAGGCAGGTATCTGTGAGTTCGAGGTCAGCCAGATCAACATAGTGAGTTTCAGGCCAGCTGGGACTACAGGGAGATCCTGCCTCAAAAAACGAAACAAAACAAAACCCCCAAACCAAACACCAAACAAACAAAAATGTAGGTTATAGGCTGGAGAGATGGCTCAGCAGTTAAGAGCACTGACTGTTCTTGCAGAGGACTTGGGTTCAATTACCAGCACCTACATGGTGGCCAACAACTGTCAGTAACTCTAGATCCAGGGAATCCAATGTCCTCTTCTGACCTTCTTGGGCATTGCACAACACAGGTGCACTTACACACATGCAGACAATATATTCATACACACAAAATAAAAATGTTTTTTTAAAAAAAATATGTGTTTGAGCTAGGTGTGGTAGTCCAGGCCTTCAATCCCAGCACTCTGGAGGCAGAGGCTGGTGAATATCTGTGAGTTCAGGGCCAGTCTGGTCTACATAGTGAGTTCGAGGCCAGCTGGGGCTATAGGAAGACCCTGTCTCAAAAACCCCAAACCAAATAGCCAGACTGCTCCCCTTCCCCAACAAAAACCATGCTCATGGATAAGTTAAAAATTTCTTTCTTTTAGATTGCTAGGTATGATAGCACATACATTTAGTCCCAGGACTCAGGAAGCAGAAGCAGGCAGATTTCTTTGAGATCTAGGCCAGCCTGGTCTACACAGCAAGTTCCGGCCAGCTGGGGCTACAGGGAGATCCTGATACACACACACACATACATATATACTAATATATACTATATTAGTAATACAGGGGATAAGCACACTATTAAGCATATATCAAAACTCAAAATCCCAACATCTCTTTCAGAAAACTATAGAACTGAGTAACATCAACCTTAATATTATATAGTTTTAAATAACTTAATATTTTAAGAAATTATACATTCTTTCAAAGGTCTAGGAAGCTTGGACAAAATACAATCATACATTAGGTCACAAAAAAAAACCTCTCAATTTCAAAAAGGCTGAATTCCTAGACTGAAAACAAAACCTTATCAAAACAAAATCACTATGCACATACATCCGAAACACCAAGTAGTTAAACACTTCTAATTGGATTTGAACGTTAAACAAGGAAATTAGGAAACAACTGTATTAGAGTAAACAACTATCAAACCTCTAGGAAGTCAGATCGAAAACAGAGAAAATAAGTATCTACCATTAGAAGAAACATGTAAGAATGGAAATCTATCAACTTCATTCATATGATTTCTGCCCTTAAATATAATTTTGTAGTTTTACTTTCTCTAGATATTAGATATTCTTAGATTTTGCCCCCCTCTAGATGTTTTTTGATGCATTCATTAAAATGATCTTTTCTCTTACTGGGTTCTAGCTGTTTTCCATTCTATTTTCCTGAATTTCGTATGTAGGTATAATTATATCACCTGCAAGTTTTCTTTCAGAAGTATACAAGGTCTTTCATGTCCTATGCAAATGTTTAGGAGCTCTAAGCAACAAAAGCAGAGCTCACATGGATCCCTGCCTCACTCCCAGTTTTGAGGGCTATGTTTTAATACTAAATATAATTTGCATCTGCTTTACATGACTAAAATCTACTCTAATTTACTGACTTTGAAATTTCTATTGAGGCAATCATATCTCTATGCATCACGTATTGTAAGGCTTTCATGGGCACTGGGCCTATGTGGCTGACACCTCAATAAACTCTGAACATCAGAGCTGGCTGGCACATACTTTCATATGTTGCCACATATCACTGCTGGAAGAATATGGGATGTCTACCAGGAGGAGACACCTCTATGTTTGTGCTCCATTCTTCGTGATATCATCTCAGACACCTTTGTGGACTCTACCTATATCCTTTCACTATATAAATCAGAACCCTGACTATATGAGTTTTTTTGAGTACTGGCAAAATATTGAATCAGAGGGTGGTCTTAGGATCCCAACACAACATGATTCACTGAAGAAACAGTCAATAGAACAAGTCTAAATCCATATAGAATTTTTGTGATGAGATTTATATGATGCCAATCTTAGCATATTTCAACAAAATTTAAAATATTGAAAATGATTTCAAGATATACTCAGTATTCGAGTTTAGCATGCTTCTGTTGTCTCAAGCTTGCAGCAAAGTGATTAGAGTACCAGTCAACTTACCAATAGGGACAAATGGTGCCTCCTTAGCTTTTCGAATAAATTTAGATCCCTGACCCTCATCATAAGAAGAAAGTGTAAGATCTGTGTTGGATGACATCGTGATTGCTTGAAGAATCTTTCTGCAAGAAAATTTTTTGAGGTTCTAGAATTAAAAACATCTAGAATATTATTAAATACTGGAATGAACTTAGAATATTACTAGCTTCCCTGAAACATGATGTATGCTATTCATGAACTTGAAAAAATGTTTTTAGAATTTAACTTCCACTATTAAAGAGAATTGTAGGGACCTGGAGAGATGGTTCAATGGTTAAGAACATTGGCTGCTTTTGCAGAGGACCCAGGTTCAATTCCTAGCACCCACATGGTAGCTAACAACTGTCCATAACTCCAGTTCTTGGGGATCCGATGCCCTCTTCTGACATTCGAGGGCACTGCACAACACAGGTGCACTTACATACGTGCAGGCAATACGCTCATACACATGAAGTAAAAATAAATAAAATTTAACGAAAATTTTAATTGTATATTGATATTTCCACCATTTTCCTTTTACTATCATATGTAACCAATTCCTTCAAAACATTAAAAAATAGCAATATTCTCAAAAATAGAAATGAACTTTATAAATTATAATAGCAACCATTAATTTTGAAGATGTCTTCATCCTTAACTTCAACTTGACAATTTTCAGGTACTCAAAGTAATAATACCTACTGTCTCTTCAACATCATGTTAGCAATCCTAAGCACTTTAGTTTTATGTTTTTAAAGTGTGTGTGTGTGTGTGTGCGCGCGCGCCTGTGCCCTCAGACTGCCATAAGGCATCAGATACCCTGGAACTGGAGTTATAGGCAGTTGTGAGTCATCCAATGTGAGTACTGGGAACCCAACTTTTGTTCCTCTGCAAGAGCAGCAAGTAGTCTTAATCAAAGATCCATCTCTCTGGCCCCCTACTAAGCATGGTTAAGTGCAGTATTCATTGTTCTCAATGTTGATTTAGTAACTCCAACATGCTGCCGGGCTTCAGTTCTCACCTGTGAATAGGTTCCAGTCCTACATGAACATTATTAATGGTTATTGTCTTTTGGGGGGCTGGACAACAGGAGCACTTAAGTGCCACAGGGTCTCCTGCACTCCTGTTACATTACAGTGTCTACACATGTAACAGTGTAACACTCATCTGTTCTTCAGATCCTCACAACACCCCCGTGAGGTAAGTAAGTAGGACAATTGTTAGTTTCCACATTAGATGAGGAAGATGAGTTACAGAATGGTGAAAGGCTCTTGGAGGAGGTTCAGGTAGCAATGGGTGGGCCTGGGGCTTAGGCAGGATATCCCTGCCACTTTCTTGGCACGTGGTCTCCACTACCGTGACTTCCCCTCTCAGTACTTTTGCAGTTTTTCTTATTAACTTCTCCAGGACCTTTCCCTTGAGTTTTATTCTCCTGTTATCGTTTTGCCCATTATACTTTTCACAAGACTACCTCCAAACTTCAGCTCCATTTCTGTTCCTTAACATTTCTCTTATCTCAGATAAATCCCTATATATATTTTGCTACCATTAGAATTCTATGGTACAGGTCTAATTCTCCTTAAAGTACTTCCTTGTTTTTCCAGAAAATGTACTATCTATATTGGCTTCATTTATTTACAACAGACATGTATCTTTCCACATAATGGCCTAAAACAAGCGATCAAGTTCATCTCTATATATTTATATCCACTTCAATGCCTATTCTTCAAAGAAAGGGATCTATAGCTGTCCAGTGTGGTGCTCAGAACCTCACTGGCATATTGACAAACATTAATACCAAACACATTAACAGCTGCTGACCGAAAATACTACAGTTGATAGCTCATATTTATTTTTCCTTTTAAATTATTTTAAATTTTAGAACTTCAAGGTACTGAAAAAAGTATCACCTAGTACAAATTCCTCAACCTAGAGATAGAAGAAATCGAGGCACCAAAAGGGTGTTACCTAATGAAAACAACTGTAACAGATTAGAGTCCAGGAGTTCTAACAAGATTCCAGTGTATTCTACCACTTGCTGCTTCACGCAGTCAGTGCCCATTCCTATAGCAGCTTGTCCCTACTTATTCCTGGCTCCAGGGAGGTCCCACCATTGCTTCACCCATTTCTCTATCAATTTTCATTTCTAGCTTCTAGGCAAGCACTTGACTGCAATGCACAAAACAAACCTCTCCCAACACACCTGGCTCAAATTTGCCCTAGCTTCTCAGTTGCAAGAAAGCATTTTAAATCCCCAAGGCTCCTTTTGTGCTTCCTGAAAGCACTATGAAAACCACTAAAGCTTTAAGTTAGTTCAGTGATGGCCAACAGCAGCTCTTTCAGAGTCAACTGGAAATGTTATCACCTTCATCTCTCCTACAGATGGATGCCAGGTGAGGGTAGTGTTCAGATGGATGCCTGGTGAGGGTAGTGTATCTGTTGAGGGCTTGTGCTCAAAGGGAGTCATCTTTGGGGAATGGTTTTTATCCTTTATTACCTTCTAGAATTCTCAAAGCTTAAGGCAAAATGAAGCTGCTCTCTTTTACTATGTGCCATTAACTAGAGGAACTTGTTTACACCATTTGGAAGCATGTGACCTTGTAAAATTCCCTAGAAGGAAAATCTTCTAGTCTTCCCCTCTATAACAGGTAAGGCCACAAAACCAAAAACCAGCTAGTAGAGGAATGAAATCAGCTAAAGAGATTGGAAACTGGCATAATGCAAGTTGTTTCCACAATGTTCAAATGGCAACCAAATGTAAACATGGAACTTACTCATACATGAAGTGCAAAGAATTTACTTATTTTATGAAACAGCCTGTCTTTCATCTTATCAGATTATCAATACAAAATGTTAACACATTACTGTGGTTATTTACTCCTTTGAGAGAGTAACTAATGTTGCTAGAAATAGCTCCTTTTAGATATATTTTTATGCTCAACTGAACATCCTTTGAGTTTTATGATCTGAAGTTATTACTTTTAACATCACTACACCACAAAACAACTACTTTCATGGCCTTCTTAATGAGTATTAGCTTTTGATCTACCTTCTTCTCCATACCTTCCTAATACTCTCAAGGCTTCCTCCTAAAAACTTTCTACCTTCTCGTTTTTAAAAAATATTTTATTTTTATTTTATGTTTACAAGTATATTGCCTGCATACAGGTAGGTGCACCTGAGTTGTATGGTCATGACAATTCAATTTCACCTTTATCAAAATACAGTCAATGAACAATTTTGAATTGCTTGTTACCCTTACCCATAGATTAAACAGAGGAGGCAAATAAAGCACTCTGATTAGTACCAATTACTGCCCACCCCATTACCACATATATCTTAGGCTCTTCATGTGCCGTACATTCCCATCAGGAGGTGAAGCCCTGAGGTAAAAGGCCCTCAAAATCCAACTCTAAAGGGAGCATGTGTAGTTTGAAAAGCGAATTCATCCTTCTTTACCCCCCAGTCCACTGAGGAGTCAATATTGTCAATTAAGAGAAGACAAAAACTAGCTTGACAGAATATTCAGACAGAATGAAATCTTTTCTTTACGTGTACTCCATTACTTCCTAACTCAATAAACTCTTACTAAGCTTTTTTTATATGCAAGTTTCAGTAGGCTCAAGGTTCAGGATGCTTGCTATGTTTATACAGATAAAGCAAATACTGAGGAGCCAGGCGTGGTGGCACAGTTGTAATCCCAGCACTCAGGAGGCTGAAGAAGTCTAGGGAGTAAGATTTTGAGTTCTAGGACAGCCTAGACTAGATAGGGAAATGACAATCCCCTCCCTGAATCTCAAAGAAAGCAAAACAAATAAACAAAACCCCTGAACAGGCTACAGAGTGGGATCCTGACTGGAAGAAAAAACAAATACACAAAAATCCACAAAAACAAATACTGAAATAACTACTGGCTAAATTTTTTTTTTTTTTAATTTAAAGGAATGGACAGAATGTGCTTAATTGCCAGTAAATATAATCCTTAAAATGGGATAATCCACACAACAGGAAACTATTAGCTAAAGGAGGTTTGGGAAGTTTCACCAAGACTTGAGATTTCAAGAACTGTACAAATGGACTCTACAGGGAGGACTGCACACACATTTACTCTAGGCTGATATATGTATTAGCTACCTTCACACCTACCCACAAACTTTTCAGAGACAGGACTGTGTTAATCACAATCCTCTTTTGCCGTCTTCAACTCTGCATTCTAGCAATTGTTTTTGTTCTGTTCTCTGTACTTCCAAGGGTTTCCATAGCTGACTCCTGTCATGACAGCATTCCTCCCTTTTGCCACTTTCCATCTCTCTTCACAATCTTTCCTAGCTAACTCCTATTTTTTCAGGTTTGCATTTGAATTGCCCTCCTCCAGGAGTCTCCGATTCCTCTGTTCATGCTTAGTACTTTGGTTATGCTCTCCTATAGAACCTTCACTACCGTTTCCTTGAAGCCAGACTCCTATATCTCCTGTACTTATATGTATTTCCATGGTCTGCTGTAAAGCCCTATATTCACTACTATAAAATGTTTATTAAACCTGTGTCAATATCTATTAAAGAAAAAAAAAAAAAGTAACCAGAGTAGGTCTTGATTCCTTGAGGCTACAAATGTCAAAACTGTGAAGACCACAACCCACTTTTTAAAAATATTTTATTATTTTTATTTTATGTGTTTGAGTGTTATGCATGCATGTTGGTAAGTGCATCCTGTTGTGCAATGCCTGCAGAGAACAGAAGAGGATGTTGGGTCCCCTGGAACCAGAGTTATGGACAGTTGTTAGCTGCTATGTGGGTGCTGGGATTCAAACCCAGGTCTTCTGCAAGAACAGTCAGTGTTCTTAACCATTGAGCCATCTCTCCAGCCCCAACCACAACCCACTTTAAAAAATTCCCTTTACCTCAATACCTCCTGATCTCAAACATCATTTGAGAACTGTCTCCTAAAGCATTGGGCTAGGGATGTAGTCCAGTGATACAGTATTTGCTTAGTATGCATGAGGCTATGGGTTATACACCCCCATCACTGTCAAAAGCAAACAAAAACACATAATTATTATTATTTTGGTCTTTTTGAGACACCCTGTCTCTCTGTACCCCAGCTGGCCTGGAATTTACTATGTAGACCAGGCTGGCCTTGAACTCAGAGATCCGCCAAGTGCTGGGCTTAAAGGTGTGCGCCACTACGCCTGCCGGGCTAGCACATTGTTTTTTTTTTGTGGATGAGTATAATTGTTCAGCAGGTCCATGGAGCAAAATGCTTTCTCTCTTCGCCTTTCAAGAGAGAAGGGAGTAACTGTCTCTTTACTGTATATAAAATAACAGAGGTAAATCTGTTCTTTCCCATTCTTCCCCTGTGATAGGCTCTGAAGCTAGTGCACACAGGACGTTTTTCACTTTGAGCAAGTAGCCTCCACAATTAAGAATCAGGGTGTGGGGTGCCATGCGGTCAATATTTGTTTTAGAAGACTAATGGCAGACAGCGGTAGTACATGCCTGTAATCCCAGCACTCAGAGGGAGGATCATGTTAAAGCCAGGATCGGCTTAGTAGCAACACTTTGGCTCAAAACAACAAAAATGCTGAAATCAAAATTATAAATGATGCCTATCGGGCATATATGGGCAGATGTCCAGCAGGAAGCTGGAGATGAGTTTGGAACGCAAAGAAAGCTATGAGGATGGAGCTATAATTACATGACCTGGATGAGAGAGGCATTCACTCCAATGCATTAGCACTCATTAGCACCAATTATACTTGCATTTGGCTATCAGGAGGGCATCCAAAGAGCAGATGAGAAACTAAGGCAAGAGATTTCAAGTTTAAAGCCAGCCTGTGCTACACAGAAGACCCTGACTCAAAAGGAAAATGAAACAAAAAAGACAGAGGAGGGACAAATGACAATCTGTCTTTGATCCAGGAATACCTCACGTACATATTTCAGGAAAAAGTCAGATGAAATATGAATACTTAAAATCCAACACATAGCAGAGCTGTTATCCTAAATTCAAATTAGATCATTATATCATCTTAGAAATGAGGTAACTCTAATGTAGTATAAATTAAAAATACTTTCTGAATATATATATTTTGATAATTACCTTTATAACCTAGAAATGTCCCAAATATTCCTAAAACACAGCCACTGTGAAAAAAATCTTTTAAAGTATGAAGGTCAGTAAGCACAAATAATTTAAGAGTATGAAATGAATCGGGGATGGAGAGATGGCTCAGTAATCAAGAGTACTCATTGGCTGCTCTTACAAGAGGAACCCTGGTTTGGTTCCTAGCACCCATATAGCAGCTCACAACCACCTGTAAACTCCAGTTCCAGGGGAACTCTTCTGACCTCCACAGGTGTTGCACACATGTGGTGCATGCACTTACATATGTGTAGGGGAAATATACCCGTAAAATAAAAATAATGAAAATACTTAAAAAAATTAATCAGACGGTGATGAATATCCTTATTTTACAGATTAAAAAAATAGGTTTGAAGGGTTATGTGAATTTTTTAAGAATACATCTCTGCCAGAGCAGGATTAGAATCCAGGTCTTCCAATGCATAGTAGAGAGTTCTTCTGGTTGACAATATTTTATCAAAACTTTTATGACACAAGCACAAACAAATTTAACCTGGAGATATAAAAACCTATTCTTCAACAGAAACCCCCAATACTCTCTGAACTGTAAAAATGTGTAAGTCATGTCTAAAAGTTAAATGGAATCTTTTTTCCTCAGTCACTTAAATCATCTAACAACTTCAGCTGTGATTTGAAGAGATATTTTTCCACTAGATTTTCCTTTATAATCTCATTCACCCAGTGATTGTATCTGTTGGAAAGTAGAACTACAAAAATTTTTTTTTGTCATTTTGAGACAGGGTCTCTCTGTAGCCCCAGCTGTCCTGGAACTCACTATGTAGACCCGGCTGGCCTTGAACTCACAGAGATCCACCTGCCTCTGCCTCCCGAGTGCTGGGATTAAAGACATGGGCTACCACGCCCCGCTACAAAAATTTTTTAAAAGGTACCAGTAACCACATAGTCAAGCTGTATGTAGAAAACAAATTATTCTGTAAGTTCAGTTAAGACTGCTGACACCAGCTCAAGGCCTGTCTGGCTTACATAGCGAGATCCAGGCCAGCAAGGGATACATAGTGAGACCCTGCCTTAAAAAACAAAACAAAATAAACAACAACAAAAAGACTACCGACACCCTTTTCCAAATGCATGGGAACCTCTTGGCATCAGGTGACGTAACAGACGAAAACTCTTGGACCAAGACTAATGATTTCAAAAAATTATTTGAAAATTTCATTTTGCATCAGTCACCTGGCAGTTTGTCTAAAATGGCTGCCAAGGCTCCACGGTGGAGATTCTGATTAAGAAGCAGAACACAAGGAATCTGTATTTAAGAAACCCCCAAGTGATGACGTGCACAGAGAACCCCTTAGCACACTGCAAATCCCTGCGCGCTAAGACCAGCACGCAGAACCGCTGGGGCCTGCCACCTTTTTGCATCCAAGCTGTCACGTTCCAGAGCGCCTCGGTACTTCCGGAAGCAGATTCCGTGGCTAAGGATCACCCCCAAAAGAGAAAGCGTTGCTTTCCACCCCGGGAACAAAGAGAAAGGCTAACGCTGCTGAACCACCCCGGCTGGTCCCACTTCTGAACCCACGCAGTGTTTCTGTGCGCTGTGGTTCACTTGTCTGGAGAAATTTGCATTCCGCATATACCGGGTCCGCCCTTCCTCCTCCACTGGGTCACCTCGGGACGACGCAAAGCCCGGATCGCGCACCGGGGTGGTCAGGCCCCGCAGGTGCGCTGCTTCGGCGCCCTCTCCTCACCTCCCACCCTTCCTGTGACCTTGGCCGAAGTTCTCTGCCGGTTCCACCGCTCTCCCTCCGTCCCCGCCCCGTCCCCCGAGTCGGCTCCTCTCACATCCCAGTCTCTCAACGGTGCCTCATCAGCGGGTTTCCCCTTCTTGGCCTCGATCCACCTTCACAAACTTGGGCAACGTCCCTCAGGCTCCGGGGGCTGATGGAGCCCGAGACCCGGTCTGGCGACACCTCGGCTCCCCTCAGCCGGCGTTCCGCTCCTCATCCCACCGCTTGCAGCCCCCGGCCCTCCGAAGGGCCCTTCCGCTCCGCCGGGAGCCGCCCCACGACCTCCCGGCCCCGGCTCCCTCACTCACAGAGCGACTAGTCGCCTCACCGTCCAGCCAGCTTCTGAACGCCGCTCGCGTGCGGGATCTTGCCGGCTTCAGCACATCCCGCCCACCGCAGGCGCCAGCCAATCAGAAGCCGGAAGCCGGACTGCGGGGGATCCGGATGGGCCCCGCGTAGCGTGCGAGAGCGCGGTGGGTGTGGCCACCCGGAGCGCGCCCTACCCGCATGGATAGTGTTAGACCTGAGGCCTAGGCGGCAGGGTTGGCTCCAGTCCCGGAATGCTTCATATTTCTCGCGACCTTTTCGCTGAGCTTCATGAACTTCACGTTCCCGGCGCTGGCCGCCTGCCGAGCGGAGAGCAGGCCTGGGTGAGCCGTGCGGAACACGCGGAGCCTCGAAGGCCGGTCTCTTGGGGCCCGCAGCTAGCCGGCGGGTGCTCGGCCTGCGCATGCGCTGTCGGGTCTCCTTTGGTACCCTCCCTGAAGCTTTGGAGGTCAGAGAACTGTGACCTCTCCCACTCCCGAGGAGGCGGCTCTGAGGAAGGAAGTGTCGGGGCCCTTGGGGCAGCCCGCTTCCGGGGTCAGGGCTCCTTATTGGTCATCTGTCAGAGATGTAAAACATTGTGGGGCTGTATGCAAATTAGCTTCCCTGTGTTACAAACAAAGCAGACTACTGAATGACGTAGGTACAGATAGGCACTAAAGTCTGTCAGAGATGTAAAACATTGTGGGGCTGTGTGCAAATTAGCTTCCCTGTTGTTACAAACAAAGCAGACTACTGAATGACGTAGGTACAGATAGGCACTAAACGTTGCGTAACTTTTCCAGGGAAGGGACAAAGTCAATTCTCCCACCATAGGGCACCAGAGAAAGGATCCTACCCCGGGCTAGCGTGGCGAGCCAGTGGATTTATTGGCGACCCTTACAGGGGCATGGGTGACTCAAAGGAGCTGTACCACCCAAAAGCGCATCCCAGCACGGTCATGAGCACTGCAGCTGTGGAGCTCCCTGCCCAACTTGACACAGCGCTACTGAAGCATTTCCTCTCTCCCCTTTGTTTACTGACGATGTAGCTTTGGGGAGAAACCATGTGAATCTTTGAACTTTCTAAGTTTTCTGTACCTCCAATGCTTTAATATTTTTTAAAGTTATTCATTTGTGTGTGCCATTGTGGATGTCAGAAGACACAACCTGCTGGAGCTAGTTCCTGCTTCCAATATATATGAGTCCTGGAGATGGAACTCAGGTCGGTCTTACAGGCTGGCTTTTCAATGAAAGTTGAAGTTTCAGTAACTTCCTTAGTCTTATGAGCCATCCTCCAATAACTATACAACACACGTGATGGATGAGAATTTTAAATTTTTTATTACATTTTTATTGTGTATGTGTGTGGGTGTGTATGCCATGGAAAGCCTGCGGGGCGTCAGAGGACAACTTCAGAGAGTATTCTCTCTAACCATGGGTTGGAGGAATCCAACTCAGGTTGAAACTTACTTGGATTAAGACATAAGTAGGAAACATTTCATGTTATGTATGGTAAAAATGCCATACCCTGATTATGTAGCAGCTTTCTTTTGTGAAGGCATGCATTTTGTATGGTATGTTCTAAACATTGTTTTGCTGAGTAGGAACTTGAGAACGGTAAATGAAGAAAGACCTAAGTGTACAGACCTAAGTGTACAGATAAGAGGCTCCTTAGGAGAGCAACAAGCCCCCTGCCTTAACCTGAGTGACTCTATTTTATACAACAGCAATTTGTTCCATTTTAGGTGCAAGTGCTAAGGCAGAGTGACTTTATTACTTATCTGGGCAAGTAGATTAACCACCAGATGTTGAACACACAAAACTTATCAAAAAGACCCCCCCCAATCTGTGCAGCAGAAACCATGGACCCTAAACTGATAAATAGCTTATTTACGCAAATAAAGGACATCACCATTCATCCATGAACTTACCAGAGTAAATCAGAAGCACACAGGCATGTCAAAACCATTATCAGAAAAGCCAGGCCCATGAGCTTAGCAAATATATTAGACCAATGAATGATATAATCCCTTACCTGAGTCATATAAAAGGAGGGGCAATGCTGGGTGTGGTGACACCTGTAATCCCAGCACGTAGCAGTCTGGGGAAGGAGAACTGCCAAGTTTGAGGCCAGCTGGGCTACCTGGTAAAACCCTATCTCAAAAGTAGGAGGACCTAGTACTGGGGAGCAGGGGTATCCATGGTCCTGTTGTTATGCTACTCCATATATTCATCACTGGATAGACCATCCCTGACACTTCAGCTCAGAAGATCACGTTGCCTGACTGGCTCACTAGAACTCTATAATTGTCTGGACCCACTGTGTACCTTGAACCAGCTCTGTACCTTGGCAGCTCAATGCCTTGAACAGCTCTTTAGTGATTCCTTGAGACCTAATCTCTTGCAGTGATTCTCCATTTATATTAGCTCTTTCCATTTGCCTTCAGTATAGCCTATCTGAAATCTAGCAGCCTACACCCTTTCTTAGCAGTTCTAGAACCTGTATAATTTAGTGTGACATGTGTCATCAGAGAGTTATAATAGTAATTAAGATTGGAATGGGATAAAAGAACATGTGATTGCTAGTGGTCATGTTGCCAAATGAAATAAAAACTGCTTGGTGACTTGAAGCTAATAGAATTGACATAGCTTATGAACTTATTCAATACATTCTGACATGGTGGAAAGACACACAAACATGTCTATGTTGATGACATAGCTTGTTCACAAAATTAAAGAGCTTCAACTGACCAATATGAAGACAAATCTGAAGTCATTAAGTCTTTTGATTCTGGAAATACAGAGGCTAACAGCAACAATGACCAAAGTCTATTCATTTCTGAAGAGGATTTGTACACTTCAAAATAATTCAGCTAAATTGATAATTTCCAGAAAATAAGACACAGGTTCAGACAGACCAGAGTTCAAGTCCCAGGTTAGCAACATATTTGTGGTGACCTTGGGCTTAAATTCTCAAAATGTCACTTTTTTATTTTTGGCAATAGGATTATATTATGTAACCTAGGCTGGCCTCAAACTTAAAATAATCCTGCCTCAGCCTCATTCTTATTGGGGTTATTGGTATATGCCACTGTACCTGACATGTTAGTGTTTTTCATGTATGAAATGGGTAACAGTGATGCTGAGTGAGGAAATAATCTGTACAGGGTTAGTATGAGAAGTGTAGCTTTTGTGTGAAAAGACAATCCTTGTCCTCTCCAGTGCTTATAGTGTAAGTATGTGCACCTATGAAACCAGCTACTAATAGACATGATTGGTATAAAGGCTACAAACTGAGAAGTAAGGGCTGGTGGAATGGCATGGCAGAAAAGGGTACTTCTTGCCAAGCTTGATAACTTAGTTGGATCTCCAGAACCCACATGGTGGACAGATTCACCCAAGCTGTCCTGGAACCTTCACAACACATGTCAAGATATACAGTGTCCCCTTCCACCCACAAAATCAAAATAGTGAATGTTTGCCAGACATGGTGGTACATGCCTTTAATCCCAGCACTCGGGAGGCAGAGGCAGGCAGATCTCTTTGAGCTCAAGTCCAGCCTGGTCTACACAGTGAGTTCCAGGACAGCTGGGGCTACAGAGAGACCCTGTCTCAAAAAGACCAAAATAAAAAAATAGTGAATGTTAAAAAAACAAACGAGGGAAGTAGCAAAAATCCAAGATTATAAACTAAGGAATTTATCTGCATTATGTAATTAGTAAGCATGCTGTAACACCAGGTGACTTTTAAGACAGAAAAGGAAATGCATTTTTATACATATTGAATTGCAGTTCTCTTAAAAATTATTTAAGAAAGGTTTACATACTGGGATGGTAGATCCACATAGGTAATTTAGGGAAAGTTAGGTATATATTCCTTCTGCAGGTGTGACTGTATGGAAGATAGACCTTTGTCCCTCAAAATCTTTCTCTTGGAGCTATTATTAGATTGTGCATGGCAGGACTGTCTGACCCTCTTTAAAGTGACTTGAATTTTGAAGGTGAGAAAAAGGGTCATCTGTTTGGGCCCCTTATTGCTGGGAATGGAACTGGAGGCCTTACCTACACTAGGCAAGCTCTCTGCCTCTGAATTACATCTCCACCTCTTAGAGGTTTTTGTTGTTTTGTTTGGTACTAGGGATTGAATCTAGAGCCTTGCTCATGCTAGGCAAGCTCTACCATTGAGCTATATCCCCATGGCCTGTCTGGGTTTTTTTGGTTTGTTTGTTTATGAGACAAGGTCTCACAAAATTGTCCAAGCAGGCCTTGAACTTGCTTGTAACCCAGGCAGGCTGTGGACTTGTAATCCTCCTGCTTTAGCCTACAAGTGCTTGGGTTAGAAACCTGAACCTACAGACCTGGCTGCTGTTGGTCTTTGAGGCAAGGTTTCACCATATATTCCAAGCTAGCCTTAGCTGACTAGATAACTTAGGTTGCCCTTGAACTCACAGTTTAGCTTCTGCACCCAAGTATTAGGATTACAGGTATATACCACTACTCTAGGCTAAGGCTTATTTGACATAACTGTTACAGTTTTCTCAGCTTGGGTCAAGACAAAGCAGGAACAGAGGCAGAAAAATACAGGAATCAGGCATGGTAGCTCAACCCTGTAATGCCAGCACTCAGGATACCGAGGTAGGAGACTCATGAGTTAGAGGCCAGCCTGGGCTACATAGTGAGACTCTGTCTCAAAAACAACGACCAGGATGTAGTTCAGTGATAGAGCATTTTCCTAGCACATGCAGGCCCCCAGGTTAATCCCCAGCATTATAAAAAAGAAAAAAAAAGTCAAAGGAAATGAGACAACAGTACTGACAGTTGCTTCATCAGTTCTAAGCATCTTTTTAAAAACATTTTGAGAGGACTGGAGAGATGGCTCAGTTATTAAAAGCACATACTACTCTATCAGAGGACTTGAGTTTAGAAATTAGCATCCATAATTAGGTAGTTCAAAAATGCCTGTGACTCCAGCTCCTGAGGATCCAACACCTTCCTCCGGCCTCCTTCCTCACATACACGCACACACACACACACACACACACACACACACACACACACACACACACACCAATCTAGAAAAATAATAAAGACAGTTATAGAATAGGTGTAGCTTTCAGATTAGTCTGTTAGTGTTTACTAGATTGAAGCACTGATTTAAGAATCAAGTTGAGAACTGACAAGATTGATCAAAGGATAAAGGTGCTTGCTGCCAAACTTAACAACCTGAGTTTGATCCTCAGGATTCCCTAAAGTTGTCTTCTGACCACCATATATGTACTGTGGCCTATGTGCCCACACACATAGAAATAAATAAATAAATAAACTTGAAACAAACTTTTCGCTAAAATTGTTTTAAATGACCCAGTTTATAAACTAGTTTTACTTTCTTGTTCTTTCAAAAGAAGGCCCAGGTATGTCACTGTCCTGCCCTTTCCCTCATGGCTGGATAGCATGGAACTTCTGGTTCGGAGCCTTTTC